CGGAGAAGAATGAAAAACAAGCAAAGACTTAAAACAAAAGATTTTGATCGCAAATAAAAAGTTTGAGAAGAAAAAATAATAAATAGAAAACCAAGAAGGAAGGTGAACAAATGACAAAAAAGAAACCGAAGAGGAGCACAAAAACGAGGAAAAAAGATAAAAAATAATAAGATGTTAGATAAGACAAAGAAGATGAAGACAATGAAAAGGAGAAAGAAAAAACTAATTTTCGGTTTTCACTATATCTTTGTCTTTTGTTCCTTCGTCTTCCAATTTTTATTCTTCCTCTTATATTTTTCTGTCTTTTCCAGTTTCTTCTTCTGGTTAGTTGGAGAAAAACGAAGAAATCCAAAAGAAAGAAAAAAAGCGATAACAGTCTTTAAAAAAACATAATAATAAGAATAACGAAGAAAAAATTGAAGAATAACGCAAAAACGAGGAAAATGACGAAGACAAAGAAAACTATAAAAAGAAGAAGAAAAATGAAGAAGTCGGATAAGACAAAGAAAACAAAATAATGAAAAGAAGAATAAAAAGAAAAATATGAAAATAAACTGAAAGAAGAAGAAGAAAATAAAAAAAATACCGAAAAAGTAACAAAACAAACATAAATAATTATTATAATTAATTAAATGAATTTATACAAATATCAAAACCAAAAAATAAAATATTGGTGAATGATAACGAAACGTAGATAATTATTATCATTAACAGAGTTTACAAATCAGATTCGTGTATTCGCATGTGCATCACCTAAGAAGTAGAAGAGATGATAATTTTATTTGGTTTCATATTTTTCTTTTTAATGATAAAACCACATAATTAAATACTAAAATTAATTTTTTTTTTTTAAATTTCACTGGGGGCTATTCATCTAGTTCCATTGTAAACCTCAAATGGTAAAATGTCTTACTTTAAGGTAATTAAAAGGTTTTAAGATAATTCAGGTGCCAGAGATTGTAAAATAAAATATATTATCCTAACTGAACCACATTTTCTAACGGAATTGATTTAAAATTACATTTAATAACACCCTCTAAAAGTATGATCAGTTTAGGTAATATTTGGGATTCTAGGGTTTACTAGTGCGGCCATGGAAAAGCAACTAGTCTCCGACAAGGATCGACTAAATTCGATCCCAACTGAGCTCTTTATCTCAATATTGTCGAGATTGCCTGTGAAAGCCGTAGGGAGGTGTCGTTGCGTGTCGAAGCAATGGGCTTCAATTCTACATTTCACCGATCTGTTCCTGAAAGTGTCTTTGGCTCGTCCCTGTCTCTTGTTTACCTTCAAACTTAACGGTAAGTGGCTCTTCTTATCCGCACCCCAGCCTCTAAATTCTGACCAGATGAAATCGTCTCCTTTAATTGCCAATCGTCACATGAGTTTCCCTACCGAAATTTGTTCTATTGAGATGTCTAGTCCTGTCTCCGGATTGCTGTGTAGTAGAGACATGACTCCAATGATTTGTAACCCTAGCACAGGACAACACATAAGTTTGCCCAAACTGACACAGAGTAGTTGTAGGGTGAAGACCTTTTTGGGGTATGATCCAATGGACAAACTATACAAGGTGTTGCACGTGTACGAGGAGGAGTGCCGAGTTGTGACATTAGGAGCTGGGAGAGAGCTGCCATGGAGAAGGATCGAATGTCCGAAACCCCATTTGGCTTTACCTAATGGGATCTGCATCAATGGAGTTTTGTATTATCTTGGCATTGGATTTGGAAGACCTTTTATGGTAGTTTGCTTTGATGTTAGGTCTGAGAAGCTCACGTTTCTCGCTGTGGAAGATTCGTTTTGGGAGGCAACTCTAATAAATTGCAATGGTAAATTGGGTGTAGTTTTTCCTGATCCGCTGGATTATTTTAGAGCAACAAGTATAAGTCTTGTGCTGTGGGTTCTAGACGATGCCAAGATTCAGAAATGGTCTACTCATATCTACCTATTGCCCCCTTTGTGGAGGGATTTAGTTGGGGATACCTTGCTAAACCCTGTTGGGATGACTCGCACTGGCGAATTTGTGTTTTCCCCAAACAATCTAGCTGATCCTTTCCACATTTTCTACTATAATGTGGTGAGGAACACTATCGTAAGATTTGAAGTTCAGTTAGGGATTGTATTTGAGGGTCGTCACAAAATTTACACATTTATGGACCATGTAGAAGATATGAAGCTTATGGAAGTGCTTTAGGCTTTATAACAGTCTTTACCGATCCGCCTATTCCATTATGATTCACTGTC